GGTACTGGGGGGGGATTTTTTTTCCGGCATTAGTATCTGTATCTGTTGGTTTGGAGTGGAGGCCATCGACTGTGGTTCCACTCCAGGAATGACTGGATTTGGTGTACGATTTCTGCCATTTCCTGCCAGTTTTTTTCCTTCCTGGCACTAAAAAACCTCTCCCTCTTGAGTGGCTGTGGCTACCCAGGTTTTCCCCTGGCCTGGATGTTTTGTATCTTTTTGTCCCCTTTAGATGGTATGCCTGGCAATTTAAGTTATAGCACAGTCTTTCCTGTACTGAAGAGGTACACATTTCAGGGTGAAAAAGCTTACAGGAAGGGAGTTTGCATTTTCCTGTTTTCATATGGGCATGCATTTTCTAGGGTGGTCATAGTTGCATGTCCCATCTGTTTTTCCAGATTTCCCATGCCAGCAGATACCAAGTGCATAGTATGTGCACAGTCTTGGTTTCCGCTTGCCTTGGGTTTCTGTGACTGTATTCCCTGTTGGTGCATGTTTCCCTGTCTTACTTCTATCCTCCCTAGCACCAACAATGGAGCTCCCACCAGTTGTTTTTGGTAATTTATCCTCACTATTGCTATTGGAGTCCTCTTGTTTGCTATTTCCTGCGGTATTTCTAGTTTGCAATATTGGTTTTATCTTTCTTTGACTACACTTGTTTCCCTACTATGGCTCCTGTCCCCTATGAGGTCATTTATATGTATTCCTTCCTGCGTATAATTCCCGACTCCCTGGACAATATCTCCAGCTTCACCATTTCTGTCTCCCAGGACAGTATCTCCAGCTTCACCATTTCTGTCTCCCAGGACAGCACCTCCAGCTTCACCATTACTGTCTCCCAGGACAGTATCTCCAGCTTCACCATTTCTGTCTCCCAGGACAGCACCTCCAGCTTCACCATTTCTGTCTCCCAGGACAGTATCTCCAGCTTCACCATTTCTGTCTCCCAGGACAGCACCTCCAGCTTCACCATTACTGTCTCCCAGGACAGCACCTCCAGCTTCACCATTACTGTCTCCCAGGACAGCACCTCCAGCTTCACCATTACTGTCTCCCAGGACAGCACCTCCAGCTTCACCATTACTGTCTCCCAGGACAGCACTATCAGCCCCACATTTACTGACTACCAGGACATCACCTCCAGCCTTACAGTTTATGACTACATGGCCAGTATCAAGGGCAGTACCATTCAGCCCAGACATTTTATGTTCCCATCTGTTGTAGAAAGCTTCCAGGTTTTCTATGAAAGCAGCTTTGATGTTGTCCTCTTTTAATACCCTTGTGATTTTAGTCCACAGTTTTTCCTCATTTGAGCATACCCAAAAACACTTCTCTGTTTTAATACTGCTTGTAGCTAGTTCTGGGATATCTGCACAAGGGCGTGACACCAATTTCCACAAAAAATGACAATTTATCCATGTGGAAGCCCGTTTGTTTGACTGACCACAGACTACACAGGGCTTCATAATGATTTGAATGGTTGATTTACTGCAATTCTACTAGCAACCTCTTGAAAAATTCTATTAATAACCTTAAATGAAGCTCTAGCTATTTGTATTTCTGTTTCTAACTCTTTTTGTATATTGGACAGCTTACCGTCACGTTCCTGATTTTTAATGTTTGTGTTTATAGGGCGCCTACAACCCCATCCGTTTACAGTCTGCTTTATTGTCCAACGAAACTGTTTGAAACCAGTCCCGGGTTCGGACCAGTCAAGGGTTCGGACCAGGCAAGGGTTCGGGCCAGACGATCTGCTCTGATCAGTGGGTCACTTATTTTAAAACATACTGGTCGGTGATTTGAGCTAACACATGAAGGATCTACTGGAAATTATTTACCCGAGTAATATGTGATTTGACTGATACAAAAGTATAACTTGCGTGTTGAAGAGCCGGTGATATCTGGCAGCTCCTACAATGACGAACGGTCACCTCCTTGTTTATCAATCGCTGTATCTGGCTTTTCTCTTTTTTTTTTTTTTTTTTTTTTTTTTTTCTTTTTTCCGTCTCCACCACAATAAATGCTATATTATCACTATAGTTGACTGGTGCAAATTTTGGAGGAAGGACGCTTTTTCTGTAGTAATAATTGCTTCTCGTTGTGTATATTTCGACTGCTGGTAACTACAGGTTATATGAAATTCACAGTAACGTCTCGTATTTCAAGAAAAAGAAACTAATGAAAGTCACTCCACTCCACTAAGTACCATTATAATACTGGTTAGTTGCTACTACAACACTGTATTCTGCTAATCACTGGTATCACTAGATTATATGCGAGTACACTGGCAAGCCAGGAAGATTATTAAAAAAACAGCTGACCTGTGGTAAGTTCTGGCGACTTCTGGCACCTGCCTCTATAGGCTTATCACTTCATTTACAAATTCACCTGTTTTCAAATGACACTTTAGCCTTTATCATCAATATACTAGGGAGCCACTGTAGTATACACTATACACTATGTATACTCAATGTTATCAGGGAGACTTTCTTTCCTCTGACATGAAAAGTTCAATTATTATTTTTTTTCCACACGGGACAGGCCTATGATTCCCCTCTGGCAGTAAACTCTGCTAGTGCACACTAATTCTCCTTTTTTGACTCAGTATATAATGTTTTCCGCCCAAGATTTGTTCCAGGCGCTAGAGGGATGTATCGTATAGGATTGATGACACAAATTAAAGTTCTAGCACGTAAGAGCGACCGTGAAAACACGAAAAACCCGGAGCACAACGAGGCACGCTGACACGCTGGCTCATATAACCATGACACAAGTAACACAGTAAATGATAACAAAGATAATTATTATTTATCAATGTTACATAGACAAGTAGGAATTTGGGACACCTAGGTCGCAAAAAATGTCCCCCTTCGATACCTATCACTGTCATAACCACAAGTTGCTCTGGACCTATTAATTAAATGAAATATACGTACACCAGGAATACTGGTAAATATATAAATTTGTGGACTGTATATTAAAAATAATAAATGGTTATATATATACACAATTACATAACAGAAGGAAAATATATCTTAATATCACTCACCAATTTGACTGGAGATTAATGTGTATCATACTCAGAAAACCTCACTAACTAAATCTATGAAAATAATGCTGGCCAGAATTACACACAAATCTAGGGAGCTTATCTGAGGTTCCTGGAGCTGTCTTGTCCAGTCGTCTGATATCTCAAGTTATGCAGGAATGCACATCCACCAATTTCGCCTCCTATTTGAGAGGTGTCAACACAATTTTAACCTCTAGAGCACAAAAAATTCTTCCCATTACACCAACGTTTGTACAAAATTCAAAACCAAGATGGCGAGTCTCGTCTGCCCAGACGCAGGCTTTCCGTTTTCTATGACAAATATTATTAAATACAGTATGGCCATCTATGTACATATAAATACTGAATTTCTGGAAAATATATACAGTATTTTCCACAAAGTCGGCCGTCTCCCACCGAGGCAGGGTGACCCAAAAAGAAAGAAAATCCCCAAAAAGAAAATACTTTCATCATCATTCAACACTTTCACCTCACTCACATATAATCACAGGTACTAGGTTGGTAGACAGCAATCACCCAGGGAGGTACTACCGTCCTGCCAAGTGAGTGTAAAATGAAAGTCTGTAATTGTTTTACATGATGGTAGGATTGCTGGTGTTGTAAAAGTCAACTAAAATGCCGGAAACAATGGGCTAGTAACCCCTTTTCCTGTAAAGATTACTAAAAGTATAAGAAGGAAATTGTAACACTGCATCATGTTTAAATATTGGAGAAGCGAGATAACTTCAGTCCTGTCTGTCTGAATGGCAGTTTTGAAAGTGGAAAAGGCACTGATGTTGCTTTTGAAGGCATATGCAGCGTCCTGTTTCCACAAGCCTGGTGAAGATTTTGTCCAAATCTGGGTAGATAGTGGAGAGGAAACTTAAGTTTTTTCTAAAATAAGAAACGGGAACAAAATGTTCCTAACTAGTTTAAGTGGGTCCTGCAAAGCCAGGCAAGCACACCCCAGCCTTATCCCAAGCAACAGGCTTTCCCCAAGCCTAAAAATGTTATGTATGGCGCTGCAAGCAATTGTCCAGCAGCGAGCTATGTGGGTTGAGGAGCACATGGGTTACGAGCGTCGAGGAAAGAATACATGCCATACCCCGGTCGGGATTGAACCCGCGGTCAGTCTCAAAACTCCAGACCGTCGCGTTAGCCACTAGACCAGCTAGCCACAATAAGATTCGTCCAACTAGGTATATTTCTACACCATAGGAAGGTTAGCACAGGCACCACTGTGACCACAAATGCAAGTTTTTACAGACGAATCTCCAGCTAGCGTGGCCGTGACGAAGTCTGGAGTTTACCTGGAGAGAGTTTCGGGGGTCAACGCCCCCGCGGCCCGGTCAACATGACTCACGAAATCGTAATGACACGATTGCAAACAAACCATACCCCGGCCGGGATTGAACCCGCGGTCAGAGAGTCTCATTACGTCATTACGATTTCGTGAGTCATGTTGACGGCAGTGAAGGGACTTGAGCTAGAGTTCGTCACGGCCACGCTAGCTGGAGATTCGTCTGTAAAAACTTGCATTTGTGGTCACAGTGGTGCCTGTGCTAACATTCCTATGGTGTAGAAATATACCTAGTTGGACGAATCTTATTGTGGCTAGCTGGTCTAGTGGCTAACGCGACGGGCTGGAGTTTTGAGACTCTCTGACCGCGGGTTCAATCCCGGCCGGGGTATGGTTTGTTTGCAATCATGTCATTACGATTTCGTGAGTCAAAGAATACATGGTTAGGTTAGGTAAGGTTTGCCAGGAAACAAGAGAGGTAAAGAACTCACTGGTAAGAATCCACAAGGGGTGAGGCTAGATGAAGAATAGGTGGGGGGAGGAAAAGACTACAGAAAAAGAAAAACAGCCGGGGTTAAACCCAGCAGCATGAAGGTGTCTACACACACGAGTATAACTCTGCAACAGTAGCTACATATAAGTAATACTCACCTGCACTAACAACAACGGTAGCCGCGAGTAAGAGATGTGTAGTCTTAGCAGCATGGGTAGCAGGGGCGGCCAGGGTGGCTGGGAGAGTGGGTATACGGTGGTGTGGGCGGCGACAAGACAGGTAGGTGGCGAGGGTGGTGGCCAGGGCTCGACACATGGGCATCACCACCAGGCAGCAGGAGAGGTTCAGCACTGCCGCAGACCCACGAGATATACACAGTCCAAGCTGGAGGATATGTAACTGTACATCGATAATCTTACTTAACATGGTTCAGCAAATATATATATTATATATATATATATATATATATATATATATATATATATATATATATATATATATATATATATATATATAATATATATATATATAAGACGGGTGAACTAATGTTGGTGAATAGCCCTTGGTCCAAGAAATTTGATCTATTCAATTCAAAGTTTATTCTCTATAAGGATTACAATGCTGATTTTACAGAATTTGGTTATTGTGTGGTTTACATGTAGTAAAATAATGATTACAGAGTGTACCACTAGAACACCTAGCATGGCTAGGCATTTCGGGCAGACTTAGCTTAATTCTCTATCTCTCTCTATCCTCCCATTCATTGTATCAAACCTGATTAACTCAAGCTCCCCAAACATAATATGACCTGTCAGCGTTTCGAGCTTCCTATAAATTTAACAACATAGGCCCTTTTCAGCTTAGCCGCTTTGTATGCATGCATGTTTCTGGAAGTAAGGTGCCCAGAACTTCAGCTTTTTCCTTCAGTACCCATGGTGTGGTCCTTGTTATCTTCATAACCCTGACTGTGTATAATTCTTATAAACATTTATTGTCTTTTCATTTTGTACTTCTATTCTCTTAACTAGAGGGCGTATACCTGGAGGGTGTACCGGTGGTCAGCGCCCCCGCGGCCCGTTCCATGGCCAGGCCTCTTACTCAGTTACTGTGAATTGTGAAAACAAATTTTTCCGTTCCATTCTTTACACTTTTCAGTCAGCTTCAGTTAAGTGATCCTTATTTGCGATTTATGTGATCACAACGAACACAAGTGCCAAACCATGGTGGTGTGTCCCTCCCTCCTGGCACTCACGGTTGACACAAGTGTCACACCATGGTGGTGCCTGTCCCTCCCTCCTAGCACTCAAGGGTGACAAGTGCCACACCATGGTGGTGTGTCCCTCTCTCCCTCTCCCTCCCTCCTGGCACTCACGAGTGACGAGTGTCACACCATGGTGGTGCCTGTTCCTCCCTCCTGGCAATCATGGGTGACAAGTGTCACACCATGGTGGTGCCTCTCCCTCTCATCTAGCACTCAAGGGTGACAAGTGCCACACCATGGTGGTGTGTCCCTCTCTCCCTCTCCCTCCCTCCTGGCACTCACGAGTGACGAGTGTCACACCATGGTGGTGCCTATTCCTCCCTCCTGGCAATCATGGGTGACAAGTGTCACACCATGGTGGTGCCTGTCCCTCCCTCCTAGCACTCAAGGGTGACAAGTGCCACACCATAGTGGCACTCACGGTTGACACAAGTGTCACACCATGATGGTGCCTGTCCCTCCTAGCACTTACGGTTGACACAAGTGCCACATTATGGTAGTGTCAGTTTTCCCTGGTACCCGCCCCACCTCTCTCCCTCCCTCTTTCTCACAAGTGCGTCGTCTCTATAATTACTTAAGCTGTAATTACCTTAAAAAGCTTGCGTATGCTGAGCCCCAGCTCAGCATACTCTGTGGTACCTCAGCCAGGTCGACTCATGCTACTTGAGCAAGTGTTTCCTGGCCCGTCTCTGGATGTACATATTGTACTCAGCGAGTTGTGTTTGAAGGGTGAGCACTAATGGGAGTACATATTACTGACAGGTCGATATTGAGATCCTGGTCCTGTTTCCTAGGCTTTGATCACCATTACTAGTTTCTGGCCGCTTGGGCCTTCTCATATCTTCAGCCAAGTCACTAAACTCTTCAACTACCTTGAGTCAAGAAAAGCTTCCTTATATCTCTATGGTTCATCAGCTTCCACCTATGTTCCCTTGATACTGGGCCTCTTAATTCAGTTTGCCTTATCCTGAGTCATCGGTTCCCCCTGAAGATTCTGTATGTGGTAATCCTGTATCCGTGACCGTGTCCTCTCCGTACGTTCATCTCTCGAACCTCTCCTCCTAGTGCCTTCTACTCGGTTGTGGCGCTCGCCTGGCTGCAAACCATTGAACCTTTCCGAGCTTCGTCACATACTTTACCAAGTGTAGGCACTATGTTGGCGCCACATACTCAGTGACTAGCTTAACTTCTGCTTTATATATGGCCCTGAAGGATTCTCTAGTGAAGTTCCTGAATGCTATTCTGAGATTCGCTAATATGGCATATACGCTGACGTTTTACTGATTATAAGTATTCTTTGGCGATATGCTTATCGACAATATTCACCCTCAGGCCCTTTTTACCCTGATATTTGCCCCGTTGTCTGGTAGCTAAAAGCTCTCGCTTCACACGGCGAGAGGTCTGGGTTCGATTCCCGCCGAGGATAGAAACATTAGGCGTGCTTCTTTACACTGGTTATTTATGTTCTTCATCAGTAAAATGGGTACCTGGTAGTTAGTCGACTGGTGTGGATCGCATCCTGGGATAAAACTGACCTAATTTGCCAGAAATGGTGCGCATAACAAGCGGCTTTCTATGTAGTAGTATGTCATTAACGTCAGTTGGGTCTGTATACCTTGTATATGTACTTGTAGAAATAAAGATATTATTATTATTCTCTCATCTCATGCTGTACTTGGCTCCCGGTCTGCCCTCTCTTCCTCCAATACTCACGACTTTGCATCTATTCGGATCGATTCGAGAAGTCACTTGACTGACCACATTTGTAGTCTGTTGGTGTATATCTGGAGCCCATCATCAGTGTGTGATCCTACATGTAGCTACAGGAGTAGAGCTATGCTTTGTGTGTGTGTGTGTGTGTGTGTGTGTGTGTGTGTGTGTGTGTGTGTGTGTTAGTTACCATTTTGTCCTAGGCACATGTCGATTAGACACTAGGCCTGTTGTGTGTGTAGGTGTGTGTGTGTAGGTGTGTGTGTGTGTGTGTGTAGGTGTAGGTGGTGTGTGTGTGTGTGTGTGTGTGTGTGTGTGTGTGTGTGTGTGTGTGTGTGTGTGTGTGTGTGTGTGTGTGTGTGTGTGTGTGTGTGTGTGTGTCTACTTAGTTGCGATTGCAGGAGTCGTTTCACAGCTCCTGGCCCCGGCTGGCCCTGGCTGTGTGTGTGTGTATATACGCCTGTCCATCTGTCTATGGGGGAAGTATATAGACTGAAATAAAGTCAATGTGTAGCACTTACCCCGAGCATGCGTCGTGTGTAGTAATACTGAGGTTGCTTCTTGTAGCGCATGTAGTCCCAGTAGAATGCTCCACCGCACGCTGCACTCCACGCTACCTACACCGGCCACACCACAACAACCACAAAAGAAAATACGCACACATATATAAGAAGGTAAAAGTTAGAATCATCTTGCAAACAAGAGATGCCATGTCATGTCACTGTCTCTCTAGACTGGAATATTTTTTGCACAGTCTTTATAATGGAGGGCAAATTCGCATATCTGGAGAGTATATACAGTAAATTGTCACTGCCTATATAAACTCAGTCAAGCATCGAAAATATTAAGAATGCGGAAGTCATTTGATCTGCATTCCTTGGAACACAGGCTAAAAAGATACATTATAATTTACACTTGGAAATTTTTGAAGATATTAGTCCCAAATTTGCACACCAAAGTCACTATAAAAGCAAGAGACTCAGTGGATGATGTAAAATACCCACAATGAAAAACAGAGGCGTGATGAATACAATAAGAGATAAATGAATAAGCATAAAGGGAGAGTAAGGCTGTTCCAGACCCATCCTTCAAAGTGAGGCTATTCCAGACCTTTCCTTCAAACAAAGGGAGGCTATTCCAGACCCTTCCTTCAAACAGAGGGAGGCTATTCCAGACCTTTCCTTCAAACAAAGGGAGGCTATTCCAGACCTTTCCTTCAAACAAAGGGAGGCTATTCCAGACCCTTCCTTCAAACAGAGGGAGGCTATTCCAGACCTTTCCTTTAAACAAAGGGAGGCTATTCCAGATCCTTCCTTCAAACACAGGGAATTACTAACAGAATCTTGGCTGTCTTCAAGAAGGAACCTGATCAAGTGTTACCTACTTCTGATAGCATGCAGGAAGCACTAACAGCCTAAGTGATCATGCCGTCAACTGGGAGGCCTTGTCTACGACCGGGCCGCTAAGCGAGGACCTCCAGAGTATCTAAGTTTTAGCTCTTGGCTCAAATGGAGCAGAGCTTTTGAGAGTTGAAAGCCTCATACCAGCGAGAACACCGACCCTGACACCACTTGAAGCCAAGACGTGCTATACCCCAGCTACAGGACGTCGACGACGATTGTAGTCGATTGCTGAAGACTCACCGCGGCCTTGTCATAGGGCTGCCCCCGCCATAGGGCTGTATACGGTACATTACTTGTACAAACTCCGACACTACTTCGGGAATCACTGCCGGATCACCACATGGAGAAGACCCGGGCCAGGACTCTTCCTGGCAAACCTACATGAACATGACCGGGTCGCGGGGACAATGACCCCCAAAACTGTCTACAGGTAAACCATAGGTAGACATAGGTATCACCTAGCCTCCTCTGACCTGACCTTCATTAATTTGAACCTCAAGAGCTTGACTGTTATTGTACTCAGCAACTTAACCCTCCCCCCCCAAGCGAGGTTCCAATGACGCAGGAGCACTAGAACCTCACCCCTCCACTAGCGAGGCTCTAACCGTGACGATGAAGCACTAGAGCTGTCATTAAAGTTTTGCCCTGAAGTGGAGGAGGATATTAAAACCTGATGATCCTCAGAGGTCCACCTTGAAGGACGACGCTGCCAGCACTGCATTAGTGGTGCGTCATTAACACAGTGGTGCGTCACACAGGCTGGCCTGTACACACAAGACAGTGGTGCGTCACACGGGCTGGCCTACACACACAAGACAGTGGTGCATCACACGGGCTGGCCTACACACACAAGACATTAATCACTGAGAAACATTACCAAGACTCTAACATTAACCAGACCTCATGACAGCCCCTAGTCCAGCTCAGACTAATTATGGTGGTGATGGTAGTGGTGGTGGTGATGTTACTGAGAATTAATAAGAGAAAAAGAAAGGGAATGAGGGATGTAGGGAGGGAAAGATGTAATTTCTGCTTATCTCAGAGGCAAGAAGATGTAGAGGGGTAAGAGAGGAAAAAGATGGTGAGGAGAAAATGGTGAAGGAAGATGGCAACAGGTCTTTACTACAACTCTGGATGTGAATCCAGTTTCCACACCATATAAATCTCCGAAATCATATCTAGTGAATTTTACAGTGGACTCTCCCACCAGCGTGGCCACACTGACAGGAAATTAATCTGTATAAAACTTGCAATAGTTGTCACAGTGGTGGCCCATGCTAACCTCCCTATGGTGTATAAATATACCTAGTTGGATGAATCTTATTGTAGCCAGCTGGTCCAGTGGCTTACGCGCTGGCCTGGAGTTTTACGACTCGCTTGCCGTGAGTTCAATCCCCACCCGTACCGTGGTTTACAGTGAGACACCAGTAAACCATAGACTATCGCCCAGAACAAAAATTATGTTCTTTTCACTGATTTTGATGGTTTAAAAGACACGTGGGCCAACACTAGGACATATTAGAAAACGTTTCGGTCCTGGGTCCTTGATCACTTCTTGATCAAGGTCCCAGGACCGAAAAGCTTTCTAACAAGTCCTAGTGACTGGTCACGTGTCTTTTTAAACTAATTAGTCTGTATTAATTACCAAGTCTTATACCACTGATTTTGATATTATGCAAACCATTGTCAGCAGAATCCCACACTCTGTAACACACTGAACTGCAAGCCTGAAGGCTGCTCCAGCACACTCTGTAACACACTGAACTACAAGACTGAAGGCTGCTCCAGCACACTCTGTAACACACTGAACTACAAGACTGAAGGCTGCTCCAGCACACTCTGTAACACACTGAACTGCAAGACTGAAGGCTGCTCCAGCACACACTGTAACACACTAAACTGCAAGACTGAAGGCTGCGCCAGCACACACTGTAACACACTGAACTGCAAGACTGAAGGCTGCTCCAGCACACTCTGTAACACACTGAACTGCAAGCCTGAAGGCTGCTCCAGCACACTCTGTAACACACTGAACTGCAAGACTGAAGGCTGCTCCAGCACACACTAACACACTGAACTGCAAGCCTGAAGGCTGCTCCAGCACACTCTGTAACACACTGAACTGCAAGCCTGAAGGCTGCTACAGCACACTCTGTAACACACTGAACTGCAAGACTGAAGGCTGCTCCAGCACACTCTGTAACACACTGAACTGCAAGCCTGAAGGCTGCTCCAGCACACACTGTAACACACTGAACTGCAAGACTGAAGGCTGCTCCAGCACACTCTGTAACACACTGAACTGCAAGACTGAAGGCTGCTCCAGCACACACTGAACTGCAAGCCTGAAGGCTGCTCCAGCACACTCTGTAACACACTTTACTGCAAGTCTGAAAGCTGCTCCAGCACACTCTAACACACTGAACTGCAAGACTGAAGGCTGCTCCAGCACACTCTGTAACACACTGAACTGCAAGACTGAAGGCTGCTCCAGCACACTCTGTAACACACTGAACTGCAAGACTGAAGGCTGCTCCAGCACACACTGTAACACACTGAACTGCAAGCCTGAAGGCTGCTCCAGCACACACTGTAACACAAGACTGAAGGCTGCTCCAGCACACTCTGTAACACACTGAACTACAAGACTGAAGGCTGCTCCAGCACACTCTGTAACACACTGTAACACACTGAACTGCAGTACTGAAGGCTGCTCCAGCACACACTGTAACACACTGAACTGCAAGCCTGAAGGCTGCTCCAGCACACTCTGTAACACACTAAACTGCAAGCCTGAAGGCTGCTCCAGCACACACTGTAACACACTGAACTGCAAGACTGAAGGCTGCTCCAGCACACTCTGTAACACACTGAACTGCAAGACTGAAGGCTGCTCCCGCACACACTGTAACACACTGAACTGCAAGACTGAAGGCTGCTCCAGCACACACTGTAACACACTGAACTGCAAGCCTGAAGGCTGCTCCAGCACACTCTGTAAAACTCTGAACTGCAAGCCTGAAGGCTGCTCCAGCACACTCTGTAACACACTGAACCGCAAGCCTGAAGGCTGCTCCAGCACACTCTGTAACACACTGAACTGCAAGACTGAAGGCTGCTCCAGCACACTCTGTAACACACTGAACTGCAAAACTGAAGGCTGCTCCAGCACACACTGTAACATACTGAACTACAAGACTGAAGGCTGCTCCAGCACACACTGAAACACACTGAACTGCAAAACTGAAGGCTGCTCCAGCACACACTGTAACATACTGAACTACAAGACTGAAGGCTGCTCCAGCACACACTGTAACACACCGAACTACAAGACTGAAGGCTGCTCCAGCACACACTGTAACACACCGAACTACAAGACTGAACGCTGCTACAGCACACGCTGTAACACACTGAACTACAAGACTGAAGGCTGCTCCAGCACACTCTGTAACACACTGAACTACAAGACTGAAGGCTGCTCCAGCACACACTGTAACACACTGAACTGCAAGACTGAAGGCTGCTCCAGCACACTCTGTAACACACTGAACTACAAGACTGAAGGCTGCTCCAGCACACTCTGTAACACACTGAACTACAAGACTGAAGGCTGCTCCAGCACACACTGTAACACACTGAACTACAAGACTGAAGGCTGCTCCAGCACACACTGTAACACACTGAACTACAAGACTGAAGGCTGCTCCAGCACACTCTGTAACACACTGAACTACAAGACTGAAGGCTGCTCCAGCACACTCTAACACACTGAACTACAAGACTGAAGGCTGCTCCAGCACACACTAACACATCGAACTACAAGACTGAAGGCTGCTACAGCACACACTAACACACCGAACTACAAGACTGAAGGCTGCTCCAGCACACACTAACACCGAACTACAAGACTGAAGGCTGCTCCAGCACACTCTAACACACTGAACTACAAGACTGCAGGCTGCTCCAGCACACACTAACACACCGAACTACAAGACTGAAGGCTGCTACAGCACACACTAACACACCGAACTACAAGACTGAAGGCTGCTACAGCACACACTAACACACTGAACTACAAGACTGAAGGCTGCTCCAGCACACACAAACACACTGAACTACAAGACTGAAGGCTGCTCCAGCACACTAACACACTGAACTACAAGACTGAAGGCTGCTACAGCACACACTAACACACTGAACTACAAGACTGAAGG